CACACACACACACACACGTGGTTGTGTATAGCGAACATGACGACACAGACACGCGCATACGCACTCAGACGTCCATGCACAACTTAGGAGGACCTGTCACTGCCGCCTTTGCCATTGTTGAATCGCCACTTTGGGGGAAGGAGGAGCAGAAGAAGATGGAGAAGTTGGGGGAGGGGGAGGAGCAGCACGAGGAAGCAGCAGCAGCAGCAGGAGGAGGAGGAGGAGCAGGAAGGGGAGCAGGAGGAGGAGCAGGAGGAAACAAGGACACCGAGACAGCAGAGAGAAGATAACGAACAGGAGGAAAGAGTAGACGAAAATGGAAGAACGAAAATAAGGGCAGAGCACACAGAGAGAGAGAGAGAGAGGAGAAAGAGGAGAGAGAGAGAGAGAGAGAGGAGAAAGAGGAGAGAGAGAGAGAGAGAAGGGAGGGAAAGAAGAAAGAGGAAAAAATGGAAAGAGAGAGGTTCCAAAACCTTTCGTTCTTTTTCCTTTTTTTATTATACAGTGGTTCGAAAAAACTAAGGAAAACGAAAAGACAAAAAAAAATGGGTGGACAAAATCCAATCACAGAAAACACAAGTTTCTGGGAGGAAAAAAAAAAGGTGAAACATTGTTTGATTCTTACAATCCACAGACGAACGCCGACACGACCGCTGCGATGTAATCCGTGGGGCAACCACCTCGATCCGTGCAATGATCACTAGGAGAATCCGCCGTGAACGACGTCCTAGAAGTAGTGCCATTCGTGCTGTTGCTTCCTCCTCCTCCTCCTCCTCTATCCATGGCCGATACGCGCGGAAAGAACGAGGAGAGGATGATCGGAAGAAGAAAGATAAACAATGGCCAACGCTTGCTTCTGAACACGATCTCAATTACATGCATGAAAGTTGATGAAACAGTATGGATACGCATCACTCTTGTTCCACCACGAACTCCGCTCAGCTCGCGCACATTCCTCGACGAAAGTGTCGGACTTTTGACCGGTTGCGCTCCTGTCGGACTTTTGACCGGTTGCGCTCCGGTCATCCTCAGGAGGAGGCTTGCCGCACGCAGAAGTACCACGTACACATTCCTCCACTGGAGGATGATTCCTGGAATCATGAAGATGATCATGAAGATGATCATGAAGATGATGAGGATGATGAGGGCATTGATGATGGCGATGATGATGATAAGTAGTGATAGCCAGCGGAACGTCAGAAAAAGAAAGAAAATTACAGTAAGAAAAAGAAGAGATTCAATAGTATGCGGTTGCCCGATCAGCCGCTCGCGGCCGGCAATTCCGCCGTCGGTGCGCGGCCCCCCTCGAGAATGCCGACAAACAACCCGATCGCCCGAGCTCGCAGTTGACGTCAACAAATGCCGCCGAAATCCGTTGGCCTCGCCCGCTCGATGCGGCCAATCGCCTGAGAGGATGCCCCAGCAGCTAAGCTGTGACGTCAACAAAAAATGGAGGATCGGCCGTCGCCACCGGCGGGTGCGCGAAAGACCAAAAAAAGAACAGAGCCGCGTGCTGACGTCAACAGATCGTTAAACTGAGTCCAGGAATGGACTGTATACCTTCCGTCATCCCTTGCCTTGGCTCCGCTCTGCCTCCGCCGCCCCCCGCTTGCCCACCCTCGCGCTCCCTTGCCGCTCCCCCCCGCCCCGCCCCCCTCCCTTCCTCCTCTCCCCGCTTCCCCAACTCGGCCCGCTTCCCCCGATCACCGCGCGCTTGCCGCTGCTCCCTTCCCTTCCCCTCGCTTCCCCGTCGCCCCCGCCCCCGTCTCCCCCCGCTTCCCCAGACCTCCGCGCGCCTGCGTCGTCGGGATGCAACGAGAAAAGCAATCCAGAGCCCGAAGCACTCTTCTCGGATGTATATCAGAAAAAAAAAAAAAAAAAAAAAAAGAGTGTTTTTTCCCCTTGATTTACAAAACCAACCATTCGAAGAAGGGATTTTTTTTTTTTTTTTACTCGAGGACAAAGTCAACACAACAGCACTCTACCAAATTATGACTAGTATTAAAAAAAAAAAAAAAAAAAACTCTACCGGTAGTCGTTCGCAGCCACCATCATCACTACGGCAAGGCGAAGAGAACGAGACGACGATGATGAAGTAAAACCCCACAGTACCACAACCCCCCCCCAAAAAAAAAAAAAAAAAAAAACTCCGAAAAATCTCAAATTGAAAATGACGGAAATCAAATCTCTTCCCCACCCCTCCCTCGCCCCCCAATAACCAAAAATAAAAATCAGGACCTGGCTACGTAGACCTCAAGCCGGCTTCTGACGAACACGCCTTAATAGTAAAACGACCAGAAAACCAGCCACGTTTACAAATGCTGTGGTACGAGTTGATTAGAGAGTGCCTTTATACATTCCTCTCTGCCTCTGCTCTCTGCTAACTCGGGATTGGGATTGGGATTACAAACACGTCGGGATCCTCTTTGCTAGTTGGGGTTGGGATTACACGTGAGCGACGTGTGTGTGGCTGAATGATACACACACGCAGCCGTTGATAAACACCAGAGAACGAGTTCCAAGTCCTCATGGACACAATACCCTCCTCCCCACCCTCCTCCTCCTCCTACTACTACTACTACGACTACTACTACGACTACTACGACTACTACTACTACTACTTTTCCCCCAGCTAGGGCCTACTACTACTACTACTACTACTACTACTACTACGACTACTACTACTACGACTACTACTACTACTACTACTACTACTACTACTACTACTACTACTACTTTTCCCCCAGCTAGGCCTAATCAGATCGAGCGACTCGTCTTTCTAGCACTTGACATAAAAGAATTATAGATGTCATATGTATTCATAATAAAATATTTCATGTATTTTGATACAATTTCGGTGGGAGAAATACAGCTTCTGCGCCTCGCTCCTATTTTATTTTATTTTACCGAAGTTTTATTTTATTTTACCGAAGATCAGCGAAAGACCACTTGCCTGAGCGGGAAAGGAAAGGAATTCAACCTTCAAGGCTGAGGGAAATAAGAGAGAGCAAAGAAAAGGGGGAGAGGCGACAAACTGCAAGTGCGGGAAGCGGGGGGGGGTGGGGGAGGAGAGGGGGGGGAAGGCGAACTCCCCCTCCTCAGAAGGGCCGCAATTAGTACCACCCCTCCTTTTTTTTTTCTTTTTTTTTTAGCACTCAGTTTGTCGTTTTCTTGAATGATCAGGGGATGAAAGTCGTGAGAGAGAGAACATCACTGGCATGGCAAGCGGTTAACGGGAGGAAGGAGGAGAGAGGATGGAAGGGGAGGAAATACCCCCCCCCCCCTCCTCACCTCCCGTAATTAATAAACCCCGCTTCGCCCTGGTCCCGGAGGAGGAGGAGGAGGAGGAGGAGGAGAAGAATAGAAGAAGGAAAGAAGAGGAAGAAATTGGGAAATGGCCAAATTGCTCTTCACACGCAATAGAAGAAAGGACTTACAGTAGAATTTCTAAATTGCTCTTCACACGCAATAGAAGAAAGGACTTACAGTAGAATTTCTTAAAAGCGTGTACACTGCTCAAACCCGCACGCATTCCTCTACATATTTCAACCTGGTGCGCTCCGGTCTGATCAGGAGGCTTCCCGCATATCCCGTGACTTTCGGCCCAGCTTAATTAACCCCACTGCTCCCTGGCCCAGGAGGAGGAGGAGGAGGAGGAGGAGGAGGAAGAGGAACTAAAACCCCCTCCTCCTCAGGTACAATGCCTCGTCTGTGTGCCTACGGATGGAGGAGCAGAAATTAACCCCTACTCGCCACGTGTAATTCCCCCCTCTTCTCCCTGCCATGAGAGGAAGGAGGAGGAGGAGGAGGAGGAGGAGGAGGAGGAGGAGCAGGAGTTGAACCACTACTCGGCTCGCATAACCCACTTGTCTCTGCCTGCGGGAGAAGGGACCACATGTCTCGGCCTGCTGGAGGAGAAAGCATGGAGGAAGGAGGATGGAGGAAGGAGGATGGAGGAAGGAGGATGGAGGATGGAGGATGGAGGATGGAGGACGGGAGAGGGAGGAGAGAGGAGGGAGGAGGGAGGAGGATGAATCAAAGCCCTCCTCGCCACGTGTAATCCCAATCCCAACTCCGACTAGGCGATCAAGAGGCCAGGAGAAGCGGGCTAAACGGGTTCTTGTGTGGAACAACCAGAGAGAGAGAGACTAAGTGCATACTCACACTAGCACTTTTTCACTTATTTCTGGACGGAATTCGGGCCAGATACATGCAGGTTCGACCGTGTCTGCCGTCAGATTCATTTAAGATAGTGCTAGTGTGAGTACGCCCTAAGACTCGACCTCAGTCTTTCTCCCTCCTTTCTTTCTCTTCTCTTCGTCCACTCTTTGTTTTTCATAAAATTACCCTTCTCTGTATCGTTCCAATTTTAACGGATGTCCCGAAGGACACTCTTTGTTTTTTCTCCTTTCGTTTTTTTTACTTGAATAAACCCCTCTCTAATAACATGTATGACCTGGCCTTCGCTGGCTTAACGAGGAAGCCTTCGGGAATATAAACAAGCCGACAGGCTATAATTCACCGACTCATCCTTCACATATCCTTCATCGTTCATTCATCGGACGTTCATATCTCACACAGTCATGTGTACTAGCAAGCGTCAAAATGCGACCCACATCCGTCATCGCCACATTAAGCCAAGTCATGTGCGATCAGTCGCTACCCACGTGGCAAGTCATGTCATATGCCCAGACACGACATGTGCGATCAGTCGCTACCCACGTGGCTTTTTTTGGGTGTTTGGAAGTGACTGGCTCCCAGGAGAAGAAGGAAAAGGGAGGGACTTGGCCGGGAAAATCTGTGTGACCACGTACATAGTATGTCAGCCCTTTGAAAGAAGGACGGAGTAAACGCGGAGTAAATGTAAATGCTCGTCGCCACGTGTCGCGGCGTCGGGCGGCCGACTGTTTGACACGTGGCAAAGCCACTGTACACGTGTCAAACCCCTACATATTTCGCGCCAAACCCATTTCATAGATTTTAATTATTTCGTTCCGGTTATCTGAATGAACAGGATTCGAACCTTCGTGCGTATTCAACAGTCTATAGGTGTACCACCGGCCTAGGCCCGTTGGTGTTTTATACCCCAACAGTAGATTGATTGGGAAACTTTTAATTGTTTTTGGATGAAAAGGTCAGTTACATTGTCCGTTCTGACTGCTTTATCCAGCGGCCTACCCGTAGCTCAGTTGGTAAGACACACAAGTGGCATCCAGGAGGTCTTGGGTTCAATCCCCATCGCCCCGATGTACCTTCCTGGGCAAGCTTGGTGCCCGCCACCTAGAGATAGGCGGCTGGTCCCCCCGAGGGACCGGAGGGAAGGCACAGCAACTGGCCCATCGAAGAAGCTCTGTCCTGATGCTACTGCCCAGGCCAAGTCCAGATAAAATGAAAACCCACGCCAAAGATGATGCCAGATCAATCAGAAGAGAGTCATGGAGTTGGGCCGCAGGCCCACTAACCGTGGGAAAATCGAGGGTGGGTGGGACCGCTTCGCCAAAATTGGCGAGTGAAAACGACCACTCCTCAAAATGACCTGGCTGGCTGGCGTGATGTGACATGCAGATCTGCATACGCGATGGGCACAGCAGCTGGGGGGGGCGCGACCGAAGGAGCACGACGCGAAACTTCCCAACCTGCAGCGACCTGTCCTGCCCCACTTACTTTATTGTGACAGCTCCAGGAAGCAGCGGAGGGAGAGTCGGCGAGAGTTTGCTGCATCCCGGGTGAGTTGTAGTGAAAAAAAAACTCCAAATAAAAAATGATAATAGATTCTTAGTAAATTGAATTTGAGTATTAGGAACAAAATGTATTCTCTTATTTCGATTATCATAATATGGCGTGATGTGACATGCAGATTTGCATACGCGATGGGCACAGCAGCTGGGGGGGGCGCTACCGAAGGAGCACAACGCGAAACTTCCCAACCTGCAGCGACCCATCCTGCCCCACTTACTTATATTGTGACAGCTCCAGGAAGTAGCGGAGGGAGAGTCGGCGAGAGTTTGCTGCATCCCGGGTGAGTTGTCGTGAAAAAACTCCAACTCCATCATTGATTTTGAATGAAGAAAATCTCCCCGTAGATCTAGATGCGCCAGTGAGTCTGATGGAGTCCAGAAGCTTCTCTGCCCAGATGAGTCGTCAATGATGAGGATCCTTGGTTAGAAAATATTCAGAATAAAACAAATAGAACTGGAGTGTTGAAAAAAACAGTGTTGTCCTGGTCGAGACCGCCTAACCAAAATCAGTTGAAACCGAGGCCCTCCAACCAACAACCAACTAGGGAGGCCTGAACTGGGCAAATGTTGTCCAGGCCAAGTCCAGATAAAATGAAAAAAACGCACGCTGAAGATGATGCCAGATCAATCGGAAGAGAGTCATGGAGTTGGGTCGCAGGCCCACACACCTCCTAGACCACCCAAATCCATCCATCGTCCCACAAGTGACGGAGTCGTCTTGCAGGGAATGGTGGAACGAGCGGATGAGTGAAGGAAGCTGGCGACAGAAGCGAGTGACTTCAGATGTAGTCGGAGGTTACAGGGTAGGCTTTGAGTGGAGCAGCCTGTTGATTGAAGAGTTTGGCCCAGGGCGGCGATGGCGTTGTCGGACCAAATACCCTTACAAGGGTATTTGGTCATGTTTTTGCAGTCAACACAGCGACAACATCGGCTACCATGGCAGGGCCAGTCTGGAATGAAAAGGGTGTGCACGCGTTAGCGTGACACTTGAAACGATTTCCTCGACTATTGAGGCCGGGGCAAATCGGTGAGAAAATTTCGAACGTATGCGCGCGCATTGTTATGACGCACGTTGTGATGGTTAGGATCGGTAGTAATACCCTCCGACCGAAAAGGTCGAGGGGTTGATTGGGTTAGTGCTGTGTCAGGTAGATCTACGACACACACTGAGACTTTGACTAGTACCAGTCCACCTACTGGTAATGGGCATCTAAAAATGCCAACTTCGGTTTTCTTATGCTCGGCCTCGAGTACCGGATACATCTACCTTTACTTGGTGTGGTATCAGCCTCCCCGCCACTTGTACGTTTTTTCCGCCGCGACCCTCAATGTCTCGGCGACAGGTAAGTATCGGCCCGTCGGGCCTTCCGATCAACCGAGTGCCCTTGCGCGTCACACGAGGACTCAAGTCGATAAGCACTCGGACAGGCACGCAGCCCGGCAGGCGTGTACATGTGCAGATTTAGATTTGGGTTCAGGCCACTATTTGGACTGAGCCCTACTTCTACACATATATAAGAGTTGCTCCTCTTCAACTTGAAGTAGGAGCTAACTCGAAGTGGGAGCTAACTTGGTAGATTTTCGGGTGGACTGTCAAGCTTGAGACGCAGGGATCGAATTTGCCCCGACCCCGAGTTAACTTTTTTTTACGAGGAGCTCTACTTTCGGTTTCACCCGCGGATGATTGGTGGGGACGTGAACCGGTGACCTCCGTGTCGGGAGCTAGTTCGAGGTTAGTTGAGCTTAAGCCCCGGATCCGACCGGTGGCTCCATGGGGAAATTAGTATTTAAATGCAGTTTTCATTTTTGTTTCTTTTTTTCTCCTTTCATTTTTTTTACTTATTCGTTCGAGCCAGGGCTACTCGACTAGCACGCAGTCGAAACCTCCGAGATCCTACAGGGGCGTCTCGACTCACCTTCCCAGAGTCGTCCGAGTTAATACCGCGGAGCAGGGAGGAAGTGCGCAGAAGGAAAGAGACGCGCGAAGAAGAAAAAGAAGAAGAAGAAGAAGAAGAAGAAGGGGGGAGGAGGTTACCACGCAGGAAAGAGTGAAGGGCATGACTGGTCAGAACGGGTGCGACTCGATGGAAAGAGATTGGCGCAAGGCATATCAGGGATGAGGGAGAAAATCGGGTGAGGAAGACGACTTTGGGAAAAGAGAACCGCGAGAGAAATGAAAGTGGATATTGCGAGGTGCAAACGAAAATGCGCGAAGTAGAGAAGCAGGCGCGAGAGGAGAAGGGGAGCACGGAGAGGAGGATGCGCACGTTGCAAGCGCACGGTCGATGACATGTGTGGGTTCAAAGACCAACAGGCACATTAAAAGGAAGCGAGTGAAGAAGAAGAAGAAGAAGAAGAAGAAGAAGAAGAAGAAGAAGAAGAAGAAGAAAAAGAAGAAGAAGAAGAAGGAAGAGGAGAAGAAAAAGAAGGAGAGAAAGGAGAGAAGAAGAAGAGGGGAAGAGCTACAACTTACCTTCACTTTGCAGCCTATGATGACGACGATCTTGGCGTAGATTTTGGACCGTGTACTTGAGTTACGAGGAACTCTTTGCTCAGGCTTTGGGTGGTTTTCAGTTTATGAGGGACGGGCGAGTCGTTTCTGATGGTCGAAAAGGGATTCTGCAGCGCCGACTGGACCTCAAGTCGACTCTCTTGAAGAAACTTCACGACGACGACGACGACAGTAACGACGACAACGAAAGCGAGAAAATGGCAGGTAAGTCTCCAATCGCACAACCCGCTCCCTTGTACTCCCACCGATAGAATGAGCTAAATTGATTGAATCTACCACTAGAATATGTAAATATATACTACTATGTGTGTATGTGTGTGTGTGTATGTGTG